TTGTCCCTGACTCCTGAGTGTTCTAGAGACTGCCCAACAGCAGTCAATAACTGGTAAAACCTTAGTAAAATGCTGTGCACTTCCTGCAAAGTAAAAAGAGAAGGTCAGTTCCAAGATACATCCCAGCTGGCCTAGATGTGCTAAGGTCTCAGCTAGCTTAGGCTGCAGGCCCAGCTGAAGCTACCTTCAGGAGGTTAAATAATAAGGTGGACCTTTATTATCTTTTTTCTATCACCTGTATTATCTTTTTTTCTAATTTTTTATTACAGAATTTAAAACTTCTTAAAAAGTAGAGAGAATATTATGAACCCAATGTGCTCATCACCCACGTGTAGTAATTACCAGCTCAAGGCCAGTCTTGTTTCATGCATACGCTACCCACTTTCCCCAAAATCGTATTATTTTGAAGCAAATCCCAGGTCTCCTATCATTTCATTCTTAAATATTTCAATATATATAGTACCTCTTAACTACCCTCTTTGTAAAATTAGGATGTTTGTGTCCTCATCCCTTTCTTTTCTTCTACCTCTCAACTCTTCTGACAACATGCTAGAACAATTCAATCCCCTAACACCAGACTGTGCAGACTGGGATGACAAATTCTTGGTCTCCAACCCCAGCTAGCACCTTAGCCCCGGTCGGCAATCATTCTGATAATATCAGAAAAAGCTGTCAGTACCTTTTAGAAAAGGTGCAAAAGTTGCAACAAAAAAAGAACAAAGTTCTGATACCAACCCAAAAGCTCCCGTACCTACAACTACACATCCGTCTAGTACACATCTGTGACATGTCTACCACTGATCAACACTATGCTGTGACACTGAGGACACAGAAATGCAAGACATTGTCCTTGCCCTTAAGGAAAATCTCTGTAGAGTGAAAAGCCAGATGAGCCTAGAGCTGTGGAGGCACAGATGAGAAAAGAAAGTTGCTATGGGATACACCTGAGGGTCACCTGATGGACCCCTCCCCTGGGTTTCTAAACAAGAATTCTACCTGGACTCCCCAACTCAGGTCCAGCTCCTTCCAATCCATCCTCCCAACTGCTGCCAGAGGGGTCTTTTCTGAAAACACCGATCTTCGGTCGCTTCTTGGCTTACAACATTTCAACGACTCCCAGTGGTTTTCAGGCTATAGTTCTAAGCCCTCAGCCGAAACCTCCAGTCTCTTCCCGACAGCTTTCGCTTAGTTCTCCAGCACCTTGCTCATAGCGCTGCCACTTCACGTCTGTGAAACTCCCGGTAGTTCTTGAAGGTGATTGGGTATGCCCTTTCCCCACCCCAAATACCCCTACTCCCCCACCTCACGCTCCTGAGACTCAGCTCTGGTACTGCCCATCCTCAGACTCAGGCGGCACGGGACACTCCCCTCTCCTCCCAGGGCTCCCAGGAGCACGGGGGCACAGCCTGCCACCCAGCATCGCACAGCTCCTCCTGTCCATTCAAGGCTGCTGCTTTGGGCCACAAAGTTGGCTGAGTGAGCAGATGTTAAAGGAAGATGTTAAAGGAAGCCTCCTGGGAGAGAGATCTGCTAGAGATGGAGATTTACTTCCCAGCCATAGGTGGTATTCACCGATGGTGTGGATGAGACTGTCCAGGGAGAAAGGGTCCAGAGGAAATTCAAGGGAGCAATGATACTGAAGAACTAAGAAGAAACAGCCAAAGCCATGGGTGAAAAGGGGAAGAGAAGAGGCTTTCAAGAAGAAGGAGTAATAAATAATGATCCTAATGAAAACCACAAGGTAGTACAAGAACCTTAAATGCCACTTTGAAATAAAGAAAGAAAGATTTATACTTTGAGTAGTTCATTTCTAAATGTATTTCATAGCTTTATAATTCTTTAAAATTCTTACGGCACAGATACCTAACACCAGGAGGTATGTACATACATCATCACCATTATTATACAAGAAATATAAACATTAAAAGTGTACCTGACATTATTCGTAATAGCCAAAGAGTGAAAACAACCCAAGTATCCATCAACAGATGAATGGATAAACAAAATGTGGCATATCCAGACAATAAAATATCATTCGATCCTTAAGAGGAGTTAAGAACTCAAACATACTAAATATGGATGAATCTTGAAAACATTACGCTAAGTGAAAGAAGTCAGTCACAAAGGACCATATGTTATGTAATACAATTAATATGAAATGCCAAAATAAGCAAATCTATAGTGATAGAAAGTAAACTGGTGGTTGCCAGGGTCTAGGGAGAAGAAGGAACGGGCAGTGACTGCTAATGAGTACAGGATTTCTTTTTGGGGTGATGAAAATACTCTAAAATTGATTGTGGTCACGGCTATATGACTCTGTGAATATACTAAAAACTACTAAATTGTGTGCTTTAAATGGGTGAATTGTATGGTATGTGAATTATATCTCAATAACACGGCTACCAAAACAAGTATATGAGTCAATAAAAGTTTCATACATCCTTTGCTTAGGACAGCAATCCTGTTAGCACCCATAACATAACTCTAAAGTCTAAATGAATGCTCAGTTCTCAATACAAATTCTGTGTTGCCTTCGCTTGTGAACACTAGCCTCTTACATAAACCAGCAGATGAAACACCCAGCGTGGAGAGGGCTTTAATATTAGTTCCACATCACAATAACAACCTCTGTTGCAGAGCCAGTAACAAGCCAAAACCCCAGCTTCACCGCCCACCTCCCCACCTCACACAAAACGTCTGCCTGTCCATTCTCTATCTTGAATACCTACCCTCCCAAACCATGGGCATGGCTATGCCAGCTGAGTCCTTGCTCACTGGCAAGGACACTCAGGATCGCTTTCAGAAAGCAAAGGCTGGGCG